CCAGAAATAGTGCAAATTGAGTCCACTTTTAGGGTTAGGGTTAGGGTTAGGGTTAAGGAATCATGGGAACTGTACTTTATTGTGGCACCAGAGCTCTCTGACAGAGAAGGCTCAATGTCTCAGGAAAAAAAAAAAACAATTCCCATGATTCCCTAGCACTAACCCTAACGCTAAAAGTGGACTCAATTTGCACTATTTCTGGCAGTCTGCAACCCCCCTAAAGAGTTCCCTCCTTAGGGAAGCTAGGATGGTTCCTTCCTTGCTTTCCTTCCATTAGCAAATAAATTTGCCATAGGCTTTTAGGAATTGATTATGATGGGCTTTTAATGGTGTGTTCTGCTTGTTTCGTTGATTTTTGTGTTATTTTTAATATTAAATATTGTTAACTCTGTAGTTTGTTTAATTCTTTTTAAAAAATACACACATTTGCTGACTTTTTTGTATGGTTTTTAATCTGTATTAATTTTAATAATTTGTAAGCTGCCTTGAGACCCTTTACTGGAGGGGTGGAAGCAGGGTATAAATGAAATAATAACAACAACAATAATATCAGAAGGGCACTATGGTTCCAAGGTGGTCTCCAAGTCACACTCTGATCAAATCCAGAATTTTTTAGCTGGTACAAAGTGGCTGCACCATGTACCACTAGGCTATGCCCTGGACATGTAATGAACTTTTGCCCAACAGGAAAGGATGATACCAATAAAAAAACGAACATACCTTTCTTATATAGGTTTATGACCTGAACACAGTAGCAAAGGAAATACAGCTGCCAGGAGCTTTTTTCCTTGGAGCTGGAGCTGTTTCATCCAGAGTGGTTGGAGGCAATGCTGAGGTAGGTAAATACTAGTCCTTAAGGTAGGTCATAGTTAAACAAAGAGAACTAGTGTGATGCAATGACTGGAAAGGAGAGACCTGAGTTGAAGATTCTACTCTCAGCAACGTCTGTGACCAACTCCTCTCCAAAATAAAATCCTTCGTTCTGTTGGGCATTGTCTCTGGAAACGGATCTCCTCTGATCCCCTCTGAGTTGTCTTTATCAAGAGAACAATTATTATCCTATTTGGTGTTAGAAAACAAGCCCAGAAAATCCCATTTC